TATTACTATACATATATTTTAAATATCTAATTATAGATTTAAATGTAAAATACGAATTACTTTAAAAAGACAGAAAATAAATATTATTTTTTAAAAATACTACAGCGGTAGTTATTGCAACAGGCGTGATAATAAATAAATAAATAGGCTGAATATTTATACACAATAAATTAATTTCTTCATTGTGTTTGTTAAAAATTCTAAAGCTATGTCTACTTAAGCATACATAATTTTAAAAAACGGCAATAAAAATAAATATGAAATAATCGCGTACGCAGGGCATACACATTAAAATAAATACCACGTGATCTATTCACAAAATGTTTATCGTACAACGGAAATAAATGTACATTTGACCGTTCTATTTTTACACATGCGCAGACCATGTCTTAAATTTCATTGGTCAGATCATTCATTAAAAGCACGGATTTTTTGGATTTTCGTTTTAAGGAAACAAAATGAATGTATGATCAAACGTAAGTTTAAAAAAAACAAAACAACCAAACAATGCAGTCATGAAATGAAATGGCTATGTACAAGAAATAAATTAGCAAAAGAAATGGGTGAAAAGAAGTCTTAATATAGTAATAAAAGAGAATGAAAACAGCGCGTTTTATAGTTCATTTACAAATGATGTTTTCGCACTATACTGTATCGTACGCGTAGGGGGAAAAATGTGCAGGTTGTGCACATTTTTGTTTGGCCACGGTGTAAGTAAACAAAATAAATAAACAAACTTTGTACATCGTCATCCGCACATTTATACATATATATGAACATAATATGGGTTTATTATACATATTTGCTATACAGTATAAAAAATAACAATTTAACAGGAACGAAAGCTCAACACTTTTTGGATTTACATCGAGATTAAAAAACAAACTTTTAAGGAGTTTCTTTTGGGGGGATAACACTGAGGTTATCTAAAAAGTGGTGAACTTCGGCTCGTGTTAACCATATCGTAACAATAGCATAGCAAGCATCAAGAACGTGCTTGTCTTCATATCAAACAACAACCACAACAACAACAACAACAACGGCAATGGGAAAAATACAACGCCATTTGGACGAAAAACAAACACAACAAAACGATTCCGAGAAAGACAGTGGAATTGGTTGAAAATGAGATTTGTATTTCCCCCTCTCGACACTTCCCTGCTGCGTACATTCGCGTGTATCGGGCATCCCCAAAGATAAATATAGCTGATAGCCATGAAAATGGGTATCCCCAAAAATAAATATATTGCAGATAGCTAAATGTATGAACGATCTTGAGTGTATTTACTCACAGTTAAAAATCCGAAGCAAACAAATGATACTGATGTAACACAATGTAAGCGTTTCAATATTAGCCCTTCATTTCATGAATTAATTTTGTGAAAGCTTTTTGAGAAAAAAAAATCTTACAAGGTGGGCTGTGGTGTGTAGAGAGCATAAATAATGAGGAAATTGAATTATTTTATCAAATAATGTTTATTTTGCAAAATAACAGTATGTATCAGATTTGATACAGTATGCAATGGTGGGTAAAAATTTGTTAAAATTGACAAAAAAGTATTTTTTACTTATCATTGAAAATTTATTGAGTAATTATTAATTTGAGTAAAACACTTATTCATCCCAAATCTGGAGCATCAGACATTCATTTACAAGGTAGTAATTTACATTTTTTTCACAATATTGCTATTACCAGTTATGTCATATTTCTTAGTAATCATGCATCTTTTTATTGTGTAAGTCAATAAGCAGCATCACTTTGCTCAGCATGACCTCTATCTAGTATAATTTGAAATTGTTTTGTTTTAAATGCAAAGTAGTTTTTAATGACTCAAACTTGTTTATATGAAAGAAATTAGAATATATCTACAATGCTGATATTTGGCCATTATTAGAACTTTTTCCTATGCAATGAAACCAGAGACATGACTGGTAGAAGCCAATGAATTGATTTATTTCTTCTATATCAAAGACTTCAAGCTTTATCTGGATTCCTCTGTGCAATGTAGATCTAGAAAATCCTTTCACCCAGTATACTAAGATAGTCTTTATCCATGGTGTGAAATAAAATAATCTTGAACAGCCGGAAGGCCTTGCACTAAAAACTATGTTGGTCAGTTCCTATTCCTCACAAATAATAGAAAACATTCATGTGTTTTAGTTAACCACTTTGCTGGACTAGCATCTGCTTACATCTTATGAATGTACATCTTATAAATGTAGGCCTACAGCTTATAAATGTATATCAGAATAAAGTCTACCGCTTTACTTGCTCCGAACCAATCCCTTTATTCTCTCTACATCACTTTCTAAGTGTTCAATTTCAGTTACAGTAACACCTTCAACATTAGGTAAATAAATAGATGAATAATTAGACATTAGTGACCAAAGAAATGTGCAGTCTCTATTTCAGACAGAATTCTTTTGTGAGAATCTTTACCCATCCTGTAAAAAAAAAAATTCACTATAAGAAACTATATATTATTTCTAGATTTATTTACTTTATCTTCATGCATGCACAAATTAAATTATAATTTAAATAAAAATAATGTATCACTGCTACTTTTTTATATACTAGAGGATTAGGATTTTATTTGCAAGTTTAAATACTATATGCAAGAATGTCAATCAAATATTATTATGCCATTTTTTTTAAAAACAATTATTGCAAGTGATAAGTTCAATATGTACTATAGGCCTTTTTATTAGATTGTAACTTCATAAGATGAATAATCAAATATTACACCAACTTCACTTTCATTTACATTCTCCTTGAAGTCTACCATCTATTTCATTCAGAACAGTTTTGCGACAAAATTTATCGCTCGCTCTAGACAAAAAGAGATCCTGTAAAAATAAATAAAACAATGTCTGCACCAAACAATCTCTAATCATTCATGAACTTCATGGATTTATAAATTAAGTTTTAATTACTATTATAAACATAAGTAAACCACCACTGCCTATAGTAATTATTACTGTTTGCGTACCGATATGAAGTAAATAATAAGTAGACTAAGTATGTAGGCCTATGCCTAATATTATTACTTATTTTCTATAATAATAATTACTGTACTACTTTCTAAGCTTATTAGACCCAAACACTGTCTCTGTGTATGAATTAGTATGATTAGAGAATTATATGCAAGTTATTCTAAGCAGTAGCTAGTAAATATCAGTCTAATACTATATTATTATTGTTATACATTATGACACTTTTTTTGGTCTTCAATAGCAGCACTACACTGTACACCCTTTATTATAGGCTTATTATAGTAGCACACTGATCATCTGTATGTATATAGTACTGAGTAAGTGCTAAATCTAAGTAAAATTAGTATACAATAGTCTACAGCTTGACTATGTTACTATTGTTACAGATTTTGACACTATTTTTCTTCTATAATTTACATATTATTATTGTAAAAATATGAAAGAAAAACAAACCTAAGCTAGTGTAAGAACCAACAGTTGACTAGAGTCTACCTACTAGATGTTAGGAATTGTTCTATCAACTAATTATTATACTACAGAAAAGTCACTATACAGTAGTCCCAGCAAGTGTCATGGTCATACCGTTGCATGGTGTATCAAAACTGTTACATACCGTAATTGGACATTATCAGCACAAATATAAAGAAATAGTATGCAAACAACTTATTTTTAGGTAAAATTACTCACCTGAGATTGGTGAATATTTTTTTCAAGAAGAAAAACACGGCCTGTGAATTTTTATTATTTTCTCAAAAACACCTCGATCACAGCTGTCCGACCAGTGTAAAAAAACGGAATCAAACTCGAATTGTGTGAGACGAAACACACCTATAGTCTGTTTTGGGTATGAAGTTGGGTCAAAAGTGATCAAGCTAGAGTATGGCATATTAAAAACTCAGATTTTAACATTTGTGTAGATTCAATGGGGGTTATTTCACTTTGTATCAAAATTGATACAACATGAAATGAAGGGTTAGTATCCTTCCATATATATATATATATATATATATATATATATATATATGGAATATACGACTGAACAGTATAGGGGGCCAAAAGATCTCACGCACCCGTCTACTGTAGCCGGAGACCCGGCGTTATTTGCTTAACATTAGCCAGTTAAGATTGCAAATAAGATCAAATAGGTCTCTTACGGGCATATTACTATAAGAAGCTTGTCATGACCGGCTAGTTTGAAACAAAGGCACCCAGCACAGCTCCGTTAACAGCACTTCTCGCACCCCCTGCGCAGCATCAATGCGCATCGGTGGCGTACTTCCGGTGCGCCCTTGGGAGCAAGTGTTGACGGTGTTTGTTTACCAGATTTAATTTCCACGTTCGGCCGCGGAACTTGCAATAATCTCCGAGTTGGAGACGAGATTCTGGAGCTGGATGGAATCAAGCTTGGACTAACATCAGACTATCCTTTAGTTTTGGTCTTTAGGTTTAAAATAACAGGACGCTACGTCGACCTTATTGGACTTGTACATACACCGTAAGACTTTTTTTTTTCGGAATTGTTTCCTTAACAAGAACCCGATGTTTTAATTTTTTTTTAACTGACTTCATTTTCGGAAATGCTTCAAACTTCAATTAAATCTTTGGCGTGACTAATTAATAACAACACCACAGTTGGATTTACTTGAAACTTTGCGGAATAGATTTTTTTTTTGTATTCTGGAAGTAGTACATTGGCTGAAACAAGTACATTTTGTACTTATACAGAACATGTATTTTGGGGGTTGGAATTCATAGTATCATCCCTGAAGTTAAGACAATGTCACCGCGCGTTTGACAATGAACATCTCCACATGGGTGTCTGAACTGATCCAAGTAACACTAGTACAAGAATCATTTTAACACCTTATGGCTTATACTAGACACACGCCCCCCCTCCCGGATACTCCTCCCCGGGTGGGGGAAGAAGACAACAAGGCACAGCAGCACGGAGAGGAGCAGGAGGGCTGGGGTGTGGCTGAGGGTTGACCCGGTGTTGTGGGGGGTACCTTTGCACTCGTTCTGGTCCACCCGCGTGTAGCCCGGGAGACACTCGCAGCGGTAGGAGCCGGGGGTGTTGACGCACACGGTGCTGCCGGCGTGACAGTGGTGGCCGGCGCGGCCGCCGTTCGCCTTGCATTCGTTAATATCTGAGGAACAATAGAAAAAAATGTATTAATGATAATTTTAATTGTTTTCACATCATTTTAGTTGTAATTAATAGGGATATTAATGATAATAACATTTAAACAAATCACACACACACACACACACACACACACACTGGGTGTCCAGTGGCTTAGGCACTCCCATGGACTCACACCCCCATATATATATATATATATATATATATATATATATATATATATATATATATATATATATATATATATATATATATATATATATATATATATATATATATATATATATATATGATTTTATACAAATGGAAAAATATTTGAACTCTCCCATGACCGATTCTTGGCTACGCCACTGAGGATGTCATCTGACTTAATATTGTGTGTATTTAGTTTTTAAATCTAAAAAACAAAAAGCCCACAAAATATGACTTAAAAAGAACTTTAAAATATAGAATACATTAAATATAGTATATAACCCGATTTTACTATAGATACTCATTATACTTTTTGGACGAATCATCATTGAATTCTAAATTATTGTTTTTCAAAAACCAGTATCGCCTGATAAATTGTTGAGATTACACACCCACGCCAAAAAAACACACAGAAAAGCCATGTAACAATGTAACAGTATTTCCGGGTTTTCCCAGTATTCATTCTCCGTTTTTTTTTCTTTTAAAATAGCATCGGATATTCCCATTGTTCGTGAAGTGGATAGATATTGAAGTCGTCACATTCCCTACGCCTCTCAACGTCTAGTACCTCGAGCAAAATGCAAGTTAATTATTGGACGAATGCCATTGTTCCCTCACTCTACCTGTGGGGGCGTACGGTGTGGGTGTGGGTGTGCGTGGAGTGTGGGGTGGTGTTTACCAATTAGGTAAACACAGAAAATTTAATTACATTATTTTAGTAAGAAAAAATACAAAAACTTAAAAAAAAATAGAATGTAAATTTGGGGGTTTTCTTTTTTTTTTTTTTTTTTTTTTCGTTTCGCAAAGTGTGCAGGTTTGATATTTAGGACAGGTACAGCTGATTTTCATGTTTGAACTGTTTCCAAACACGTGCTGTGTGTCTGGCCGTCTGCCTAGCCGTATCACGTGATTAACATATTGAGGTCACTGGCAGTTCGATGCCAGGCAGGAAGTTCGATTTTTGTTGACTTGATTGGGCCGAGTTTGCTGTGGGATATGGAGGGGGGTGGGGAATGGGGGAAGGGGGGGGGGCTTAGCGACGTTTCCTGTTCGTTTCATGGGTGGAGGGGGGGGGGGCTTAAACAGACTGCCCGTTGCAGTATTTAACTGATATTTGAACTAGAGGCTTATCTGACAGAAGGCGTACACAAGTTGGGCTGGACTACGGCTTGGACGGTGGGGGCGGGGTGAAGGGGGAGGCATAACTAACTAATCGCGTGTAGTAGTTAAAGTCTTCAGTTGTATTACAGTTTAGGAAATGTTTTTTTTTTATAAACGGTGACACTAAAAGTATGTTTTAATTGTCATTTTTGTAAGTAAAGTTGGAATAATAAAACAACGTGTTTAATTGTATACGCACTAGGCCACTTTATACATGATGCTAATTTATTATATGATTCGTATTTGAAAAATGATGTACAAATTTGAAAAATGCTGAAAATTTGATAAGATGTGAAACCTTTATAAATGTTTTAAACCTGATAAATGATGTTAGCTTAATACATGATGTAAACTAGATAAATGATATTAGCTTAATACATGATGTAAACTAGATAAATGATGTAAAATTGATAAATGTTGAAACCTCTACAAACATTGATAAATGAAGATGCAAACAGATTGATAAGAAAAACGTTGAAAAGTGACGTGAACTTTGATGAAAAATTAGAATAATTTGATACCCATCGATCTAAATGATGTACTCTAACTGTAGAATGTTTTTTTGAAGGTAGTAAAACACATAAATAACACTTTAAAATCCACCCCGTTGTTCCCTCCCGTACTATCAGTAATTAGGGTTTGGTTTGGGGGAAATTAAGATTTAAAATTGGAAGGTATTTCGGTGCAAGCTAGCAGTGGGGGGAGGGAGAGCAGACGACGCATTTCTATTCTGCCGAGTCAGCAAGGTAAAAATAAAGCGAGGTGAAAAGATGAGTAATACACCGTTTTCATGGCTGGGGAGTCGGTGGTAGTGGAGTGTCTAGCTGGTGGATGTGGTGTATTCGGTTGGTGGATGTGGTGTATTAGGTTGGTGGATGTGGTGTATTAGGTTGGTGGATGTGGTGTATTAGGTTGGTGGAAGTGGTGTATTAGGTTGGTGGATGTGGTGTATTAGGTTGGTGGATGTGGTGTATTAGGTTGGTGGAAGTGGTGTATTAGGTTGGTGGATGTGGTGTATTAGGTTGGTGGAAGTGGTGTATTAGGTTGGTGGATGTGGTGTATTAGGTTGGTGGAAGTGGTGTATTAGATTGGTGGAAGTGGTGTATTAGGTTGGTGGAAGTGGTGTATTAGGTTGGTGGAAGTGGTGTATTAAATTGGTGGAAGTGGTGTATTAGGTTGGTGGAAGTGGTGTATTAGGTTGGTGGATGTGGTGTATTAGGTTGGTGGAAGTGGTGTATTAGGTTGGTGGAAGTGGTGTATTAGGTTGGTGGAAATGGTGTATTAGGTTGGTGGAAGTGGTGTATTAGGTTGGTGGAAGTGGTGTATTAGGTTGGTGGAAGTGGTGTATTAGGTTGGTCGATTGGTATATTAGGTTGGTGGAAGTGGTGTTTAGGTTGGTGGATGTGGTGTATTAGGTTGGTGGAAGTGGTGTTTAGGTTGGTGGATGTGGTGTATTAGGTTGGTGGAAGTGGTGTTTAGGTTGGTGGATGTGGTGTATTAGGTTGGTGGAAGTGGTGTATTAGGTTGGTGGAAGTGGTGTATTAGGTTGGTGGAAGTGATGTATTAGGTTGGTGGATGTGGTGTATTAGGTTGGTGGATGTGGAATATGAAGCTGGTGGAGAGTTCGGCTAATGAAGGGTTCGGCTGACGAATGGTTCGGCTAATTAGGGTTCGGTCCAAGAAAGAGTTCGGCTAATGAAGGGTTGTAATGTCGCCCCCCCCCCCCACCCACCCCCCCCCCCCCCCCACCCCCATGTGTTTGCTAGAGGAAAGAAAACACATTTTAAATCACATCAACCAGAGAACACCGATTGGCTGAGTTTGAAGAGCTTTCACATTTTTACGCAACAGAAAGATCATTTTAGGGGAGTGGGAGGGAAAGGGGGGGGGGGGAATCTGACGTGCAATTACTAGAGCGAAATAAAAAACGGAATAATAGGAATAATATATGTAGAGCTGAGATTCGTATGTAGAGATGGGACGGACGTTAACTGTCATATATTTGACAGACGTAAGTTGTCATACAGCATCATGAAGCGACGCTTTGTTTTTTACGTCATAATGTTGTGTGTATGTGTATGTGTGTGTGTGTGTGTGTGTGTGTGTGTGAGAGGGGTGTTCATCAATGACATCAAACAACTTCAGCTACAATTTAACTCGTCCTATACTGTCAAACAGTAAATTTTCTTACAAATCAGAACCCCCCCCCCCCTCCAATTCACAGCTTTTCTAGTAGAAACTTAAGGTTAACTTTTAAAATAATAGATTGAATTTCCTCTTTAAGAAATATGTCATCGATTATTTTATGTATTATTGTCTTTCGCATCAGTTCCTAATTTATAAAGTAATAATTATTTCCTATTAAAGCCGCTGGATGTAAGAATTGAACAAATGTTTGATGAGACTTTGGCTAATGAATGAGACAACAGTACATTTGAAACATATACATTTTTAATAGTCTCAATTAGTAAGTTTTAGTGAGAATCCGAGCATGACAAAATATACCTTAGAATTAACGGCCTTGTTTTTAACAGAATTATGTTTTTTTTGTCTGGGGGGGGGGGGGGGGGGGGGTCGTCATTGGGGGGGGGGGGGGAGGAGTCGTCATTGGGGGTGGTGGTGGGGGGGTGGAAGGGGTAGTGCGCTAAGGTAAGGGTTAGCAACACTGTGGGGGGGGGAGGTCGTCATTGGGGGTAGGGGTAGTGCGCTAAGGTAAGGGTTAGCAAGACTGGGGGCCAGTACAGGTAGGATTCACCACCCGTCAGGTGCAAGGGCTGATGGGAAACCTGCCGGATTAGACCGGAAGCCAGACTGGGAGACTTCCGGCTGCGCGGACGTTAACAGCATGCTGATCAAAAGTGAGCACAGTGAAACCTTAGAGGGGGTGGGGGAAGGGGGGGAGGTGTCGTCTGCAGAACGGCTAGTCTGTTGTTTTGTTTTCTTGAAGGAGTTACGTTTGACACTTTTATTCGTGCCATTGTAATAAAGCATTAATGCATAATTAAAAATATACTTGTTACGGAATTGTAAAACATAAAAATAAAGGGTATTTTCAAATATTTGGTTTAGAAAAGTGACACCAAAGTAATTTGAAGGGTCAAGTACATCGACAGCATTTTAGTTAACTGAATGTCTTTCTTTCAAAACTTTTTTTCTTTTTATTGTAATAACCGATTGTGCAAATGATAGTGATTTTAAAACGTTAAAGTTTATTTAAGAAATATTTGACTTTAAAAAGAAATACCCAAACATAAAACAAAAAGTATTTTCTTTTTTTTATAAACTATTTTTAACTAAAAAAAATCTAATCTAAATCCATCTATTTACTTAACATATCTATACGTCTGTGTTGTCGTATGAACGATGAAAACCAAATTGTTCATGAACAAAAAAAAATCTATTTGGCTCGGCTCTAGAATAGAAGACTTGTGAGATTGGAACCATCGAGGGACTAGAGATGTATAGCAGGTGCTGAAATCTCTACCAGCCGTGGAGGCAACATCGGGATACACGGGGACATATCGAACACATCCGCTAGGATGTTCACTCTACTCGGGTTGGAGAGAAAACACAACAGCGGACATTTGTGGGGTTTTTTTTATTTCGTTCTTTTAAAGACTGGTACAACATGCCTTATGTGTTTGTACGTTAAGTTTTAAGAAAACCATAATTTAAATTTATCACAAGTTTTTTTCTTCGTTCTTTTAAAGACTGGTACAACATGGCGTATGTGTTCTTGGGTTAAGTTTTAAGAAAACCATAATTTAATCAGGTTTTTTCTTTTTTTTTAATGATTAGTGCAACATGCCTTATGTGTTTGTAGGTTAAGTTTTAAGAAAACCAAAATTTAATCAGGTTTTTTTTTAAATACTGGTACATGATGCGTTATGTGTTTGTAGGTTAAGTTTTAAGTAAACCATAATTTGATCAGGTTATTTTTAAACACTGGTACATGATGCTTTATGTTTGTAGGTTAAGTTTTAAGAAAACCATAATTTGATCAGGTTTTTTTCCCCAATCTTTTAATGACTGGTGCAACATGCTTCATGTGTTTGTAGGTTGTTTTAAGTAAACCATAATTTAATCAGATTTTTTTTCCTTCGTTCTTTAAAGACTGGTATACGATATCTTATGTTTTCGTAGGTTAAGTTTTAAGAAAACCATAATTTAATCAGTTTTTTTTTTGCTTCGTTCTTTAAAAGCTGGTACAACTTGCCTTATGTGTTTGTGATCAAGTTTTAAGAAAACCATAAGTTAATCAGTTTTTTTGCTTTGTTCTTTCAAAGACTGGTAAAACAAAAGACGGTAATAAAAACTTAAGGTTACGTTAAGCTGTATCTTATTTAAATTGCAAGCAAATCATTATTTAAACTAAAAATAAGAATCCTTAGAACCAGATATAGGTACGGATTTGAGAAAGAATAGTTTTTTGCATGTTTTTGATGAAGTTGTAAGTCGTGATATCTAAGTTGGTCTTCATCGGCCTTAGCACGTTCGGTTATAGTCCAGCCACCCACACACAATCACACACGTATGAACACACAGTCACACACAACTCACACATCAGTTCAACATACTTTCACACACAACTCACACATCAACATCCACACACAGTCGGGTAAAGACAACTCACCTTCACAGTTGCGACCGTCGCCCTCGAAGCCAGGTCGGCACTCACACTCGTAGTTCTTGAGCATGCTGACACACCTGGCGTTGGCGTGACACGTGTGTCCGCCCGCGCAGTGATCTGTGTCTGGAAAAGGGACATAACTTTATTAGAGATGTTCGACTTTAGGAGATTGTCAAAATAAATGTACCGAAAAAATCAAAAGTCCCATCTTAATTATTTCCCATGATTGCCAGGTACCAATTATGGCTGGGTGAACACAGTGCTGATGAAGTAGAGTTTAGCTGCTTAAATTTAACAAAACTTTTCTGATCAAATAACTTCTGCAGTGAGTCACTCAATCTATTAACTATTCCCACAAGAATTCTTCCGAGGTCCTAGTATACACGTGCATTTGTTGTACTACATAACAGCTCGCCAATACAACCTAAGTTGAATATTCATTTACTTGTATGTAATTCAACCACTTACCATTACATATAGGACAGCACTCCGTATGAACCTGGACAATTTTGTATTTTGGACAATTCAAAACAGGACATTCCTTGGATACATCCTGTTTCTTACACTGCATACCTCCATTCTGTTTGAGAAACATGAAAAACAGTCCAAGGATTATAAGACAATACACAAGACAGCATGAGACAAGACAGTCAGTGTGTTATTAGAGAAGACACAAGTCAGCATGAATATAAAATAAAATAAACCGGGAGTGATCTCCCCTAAACTTTCTCGAATATTCTTATATAAAATAACAGGGGATGGGAACTCGGGCTATAGACATGATTTTTAATCCATTTTAAATACTTAAAGTTTTAAAAATAGAATAAAATCTCGTAGACAAATTAATTGCACACAAAGTGAACGCCAAATAAAAAAGCGCATAATGGTGCGCAATATTATTAGTACTTTTAAAATTTACATTAGTTTTTTGAGAAATCGGAAGTAGCGTAAATTACTACTTCCAGTCAACGGAAATTACTCAAAATTTAACAGAAGGTAGAGAATTAGATCTTTTACTTACATTTGAAATTTCATTTGTCTATCTGAAATAGTACTCAAGTTATAGGCTTTTGAAAAATTCAAAGTAGGAAAAGTACCACTTCCGGTTATCGGAAATCGCTCAAAAGTTGATACGGATCTACGATTTTGATAAAATACTTATATATGAAATTTCATCAACGTAGCTGTAACGGTACTCAAGTTATCGTGTTTACACACGGACAGACAGACACACAGACACACAGACACACAGACAGACACACAGACATACGGACAAGATTGCAAAATTATGTTTTTCCGTATCAGTGAGGTGTAAAACGTCGAGATTTGTAAAAATCTCGATTTTTTTTTTTGCACGATTACAAGACTTTCTCTATACTTCGTATATACGAGAAAGTAAAAAATAACTATTACAACTTTGCCCAAAAGCTTTTTAAAAAATCTATATTTCGTTTGGCGAATTTTCCACACTGAAAAAAAACGACGGTTGCTTCTTTAAAAAAAATGGTAACATTATGTTCCAAAAGCTACATCTAGAAATAGAAATCTATTTACAGCATTGCGTCATGTTGAAAACAGCTATAAATAGACCTATACTAAGATATTTCAGTTGTAAATTTTTGTATTTCTCCGTTTCTTGTTTCTGTTTAAAAACAGTTTTAGGAGGAAAAAAAACCACCAATAAAAAAAAAGGTTGTGCAGTAATGCCAAGAAAATTATACTTATATTTAGAAAATTCATGCCTGCCAATTTATCTTCAAGACAAAGCACAAAAAAAAGGGGAAATCACTAAGAATATTAAGGATAATAACGTGTCAGTTAACGAGAAAAATTAAATCTAAAAATAGCTTACCACGCATGTGCAAGTGACACAAAAACTCGGACTCACTGTCTCGCCGTCATTGTAGTACTTGCCGCTGTACAAACAGGTTGCTGATTGGTGGAAAAAAGAAAGGAAGGGAGGGGGGGGGGGGGGGGGCACATTAGTACAAGGTCATAAATCTTTTGTCTTAAGCTCTAAACTTTTTACATTTTTTAAATATGCACACTGGAGATGATAAGCACATTTGTGTTGAATGGAAATAAAAATGTACATGTAAAAATATTTTAAGTTTTGAAAAAACCCAGCGGTCTGCTACACGATGAATCGTTTACGCTACTCAGCTTTCATCATCCCTTTATCATCCATTTTTCTTTCTGCTTCGTCATCCTCGTCCTCCCTCCTGCCCCACCCCACCCCCCTCCCACACTGTATTGCACACTTCCCTTAACGAACCTCCGTCGTCATCCTCACCCACACTCCTTAATGTTTCTAATCCACTCTACTTCATCATCCTCCATCCTGATCCACCCTCACCCACCCTCTCACTACAACCCTCCCTCCTTCCTCACCCTCTTGTATCACCCTCTCCCTCCCTCCTAATCCACCCTCACCCCCCGCCATCACTGCACCTTTCCCTCTTTCCTTAACCATCCTCTCCTTCCTCATCCTCCAGCAACACCCCTCCCCATCACTTAACCCCCCCTCCCCTCTTTCCTCACCCCCCAGCAACAACCTCCCCCCCCCCTCCCCGGCACATTTCATCAGCCATTACGCTGCCGCACATTGATTTAAAAACCAGCCTAGCTAACAAGTGTCACATCACCGTCCATCTCAACTTGCATTAAAAAAACCAACCCAACCCAACCCTCCATATCGCGTGCATATACCACATTCCACTAACCCTACTCTTTCTTTATCCCCCCTCCTCACACCCTACACCTCCTCACACTTTCCCTCACTCTCCCCACATTATCTTCGTTACGTTTCTCTATCTCCCACCTGACAATATTCAGGCATTTTTTTCGGAATGCAAATTTCTGAATCTCTGAATTATTGAGGGGTTTGAGGTTACTAAGCATGGGCGTTTCCTCGCCAGGCAGGGATTTGACAAACGCATTCCCGGGATTGTGTTGAGTATATACTACACGAAGCATCGACAAGAATCTCATTTTTTTGTATTCAACAGAGCCACGCCATTGATACACAACACGGCTTCAGAAAACTACATACAACAAATGTCATTGTTTTTACAAATAACTTTCTCATCAAAACACTTGAGGGTGGTTGTATTTCATCTATGCTTTTTGAAACCAAACAACCTTTTTAAAAGTCGAAAACTATAGTTAGAAGCTTACATTCAAAGGTATTTTAACTCATCCTTAATAAAAAATAAAATTTCACATGTTAATATTGTATATTTTAATTTTTAATATTGTAATTAAAAGTTAATTAAAGTTAGCTTTCGATATTGAAATTTTCGGTGTTGTGTTGGCTTTCATCAGAATACTCTAGTGAAGGATTTTAAAATGAAGTTGCTGTGTATATAACGCATCATGCAATTTTAATGCACACAGTCTAAAATACTATCGACATTTGCCGACAGAATTTAAGATGAACTGCTCGCATAGCTGGACAATAGCCGACGGAATTAGAGAGTATCTGCTTTGACAAACATGCGCTCCAGACTATTTGGTTAGAGGATATGAACAAGGGATATCGATTGCTGCCACATTGTGACAGAGGGTGACACGCCCCTGACGACAGGGCTGGCTGTTTTCTTCTGATCGATATTTGAAGAAAAAAAATTAAAAGGGGGGGGGGGGGGGATAAAGAAGTTATTTCAGTGGGGAGAGACACAAAACACGATGGCATGACGGCGAGCCTGCTCGGTGAGCTTTTTTTGTAACTGTTGCAGGGATGGGTGGAGAAGAGAAAAATATATAAAAAGCTGGGAAAACACACACACACACACAAACAAACACACACACGTACAAACACACATACGCACAAACACACAAAGACTCACACACACACACGCCCAGACACACACATACACTCACACACACACAAAGACACACACACTTAAACGCAGAGGCGTAGCGACCCTTATCGGCGCCCGGGGAACAAACTTTCGATTTGCACCCCCACCCCCCTCAAACTTTCAATTTACACCCCTCCCCTCAAACTTTCGGGTTGTTTTTCCATCCCATTTTGGCGCCCCCTAAAGTCGGCACCCTGAGACATATGTCCCCCCCCCCCCATCGCTACACCTCTGCTTAAACGCACAGACACACACAGACACACACAGACACACACAGACACATACACAGACACACACAGACACATACACAGACACACACAGACACACAAACACACGCCATTTTTGTGCCCGTGTTCGATTTTGTACTGCCAACAGGATGGCCTGATGGGGATTGAATCGAGCGGAAGTGACGACAAATTGACTTGCCGGAATGGCCGATGTTCGGCTCTATCAGTCAATCAATTTGCATTCAAATACCGCCAGACAATACACGTACTAGAAATCGGCGCTCGCAGAGAAGCTGAGGCTATTTTTGGTGACTGTGGCTGATGTTTTTTTTTTTTTTTACCTTAGCTGCTAGTCCACACAATTCGCTGGTAGTTGATCAATTATGTTGTGTTGATTACGAGGTAAAATTACAGCGCGCGACTATACAACAGACTTACTATTCTGCGACCTATTATAACCCGAAGTAATATTGATCTTTATAGGTACGGAATTCGGAAAAGTATATTTAAAGTATATTTCTTTACCCCAAAACTCTAAAAAAAAAAACATTTTCCTAAAAAAACATTAACCCCTTCCCCTCCAATTGCGTGTGAAGAAATAAAATGTGTTATACAGTTATAATGGCTACACTAGAACTATTGTTAAAATTTGTCAATTGCTGTTAGCTATACAAGTATGATCTCACTGTTCATTGTTTGACTAAGAGTGCTACTCTAAGTGTTGGTTGGACTCTGAACAGACCACAGTTTTAAATTAAATGGACGACAATTGTTTGTTCAGTTTTAAAATTATTTTTACATCTTCTTCACTGGTAAACAGGAAGTGGATGGAAGCTTCTAGAAAAAACAAAACAAAAACCCAGGCACGGTGTACACTAAGCACGAGCCCGCCCCCCCCCCCCTAATCCCCCCCCCCCCCCCACCTCCCCGTGGGTGTCGGAGACTAAAGCAGTGCCCTATGCCTGCTGCATGTGTTGGTTTAATGTAGAATGGCAAGGGGTCTCAGGTGGGAGTGATTTACAGCCTGAACAAGCAAACCCCCCCCACCCCCCTCCTCGGTGGTACTGGCTGACCTTTGGTACCTGGAGCAGAGGGCGTAGAAGGGAGTGGGGGTAGGGGTAGGGGAGAAGACACCAGACCAGTTCTGTGTCGGGATTTGTAAACTTGTAAACTTTCAACGCGATAGAAATTAAAATCGAGTGAAACAGCATACATTTATCATGTATCGATCATCATGCAGCACATCATTCAGATATCACTCACTAAACCTATCACTGACTAGACCTATCACTCACTAAACCTATCACTGACTAGACCTATCACTCACTAAACCTATCACTCACTAAACCTATCACTCACTCCACACACAACACCACCTAACCACACACCCAACACACCTAACACTCCCAAAACCTACACCTCACACTACCACACCTACACTCACTAAACCCTCCACCCTCACACTAAACCTATCACTCCACTAAAACCTACTCACTCACTAAACCAATCACTCACTAAACCCTAACACTCACTAAACCTATCACTCCTAAACCTATCCTCACTAACCTATCACACCAACAATACTACCTATCACTCCAAACCTATCACTCACTAAACCTATCACTCACCTAAAGCCTATCACTCCACTAAACCTATCACTCCCTAAAACCTATCTCTCGCTAAACCTATCACTCACTAACCTATCATTCACTAAACCTATCACTCACTAAACCTATCACTCACTAAACCTATCACGCACTAAACCTATCACTCACTAAACCCTATCACTCACTAAACCTATCACTCACTAAACCTATCACTCACTAAACCTATCACTCACTAAACCTATCACTCACTAAACCCATCTCTCACTTAAACCTATTTCTCACTAAACCTATCACTCACTAAACCTATCACTCACTAAACTTATCACTCACTATACCCATCTATCACTCACTAAACCTATCACTCACTAAACTTATCACTCACTATACCCATCTCTCACTTAACCTATTTCTCACTAAATCTATCACTCACTTAACCTATCTCTCACTAAACCTATCTCTCGCTAAACCTATCACCTACTAAACCTATCACTCACTAAACCTATCATTCACTAAACCTATCACTCCTAGACCTGTCACTCACTAAACCTATCACTCACTAAACCTATCATTCACTAAACCTATCACTCACTAAACCTATCATTCACTAAACCTATCACTCACTAAACCTATCACCCACTAAACCTATCACTCACTAAACCTATCTCTCACTAAACCTATCTCTCACTAAACCTATCACTCACTAAACCTATCACCCACTAGACCTATCTCTCACTAAACCTATCACTCACTAAACCTATCGCCCACTAAACCTATCTCTCACTAAACCTATCACTCACTAAACCTATCACCCACTAGACCTATCTCTCACTAAACCTATCACTCACTAAACCTATCGCCCACTAAACCTATCACTCACTAAAACTATCACTCACTAAACCTAAGCATAACAATGCCGACTAGTATACCAAACTTCTCGGTACCCGTTCCAAGCGTATAACTCATAGCCTTGACCTTTGGCCTTACTTAAAAACTAAACCTCAACATTATCCTTCTAAATATAGTATCTGTCAATACAACTAAATATATGGAGTTAAGTTAGTATGGCAGTTATTACGTGTACAAGGGAATAGGTGAACTTACTTGGGCAAACAGGACAGCACTCTCCGTCAACAGTAATTGGATTTGTGCAGTCAAGTTTTGGACATTCCTCGTGGACACACTCTACTGTACCATTCTGGGGATGGAAACAATCAAATTATTACTAGATTGATCTACAAGCAGGAATTTTTGTTTTTTGGTTTAACTTCGAAATCTTTGGCCGCCAAAACAATTTGTGTTGCATATTAAAACCGGTAAAGCACAATGAAGTAAAGTACTATAATAATAATAAAATAATAAGATTTTTCTGGTATCTTTCTGAAATTAATACCTAGAATTTTTTTTAAAATCTGTTTTTTGTATGTTCATCAAGTGTATCATTCATTCGACTATCCAAATAGGATTGTTGAGAATACCGATGTCCGATAATAGACTCTTCCAAAAATAGGTGTGTTAGGTTGTTAGTATTATTGTAATCTCGACTAGTTTTAAGGTTAGAAATTAGGGTTAGGCGTATGGTAGGACTAGGGTTTGGGGGTTAGGGATAAGGTTAGCATTGACATTAGCATGCCATATGTGTATTAAGTTAACTAACCTAACACCCCTTTTTTAAAAGACGATTCTATTATCGGACACAGGTATAAAAAATTCCCCCGCCCCCTTTTTAAAAACATAAAATGGAAATACGACATTGAAGAAGCTGCTACTGAAATACCCGACCACACCACGACATACAAAACCAACTCAACAGTTAACGTCCACCCACCAAATAAAATCCACATATGTTGTTTGGTGTCAGCTATTAATAACCCATTGTCTATCTTAGACCCTGACGTCATCTCTATTAGTCATCCGCCCGCCATTTTGTTTTTTAAACTGTGATATTTCTCTGCGCCCCCCCCCCCCCCCCCCCGGAGCGTGTGTTACCCACGCAGGTTGTAAACTTTGATAAAAATAAAAAAAACCACAACATCAAAGTCCAAAAAACAGGATTTAAAGAACTGCATGTCATTTCCCCATTGTCTTAAACACGGTAGTAAAAAAACAACAGAACAGTTTTCTTTTCAACCTGTTATACAACAGAAACGGGAAGAACGAAAAAAAAAATGAATTTTTTTTAAACCCGATTTCCATTCCCCCCTCCCCTTTCCATTCATGGTGGATTGGAGGCGGTTTTTTATGAGGGGATGGGGTATGAGGGGGGCATGCATGTTGAGGCATGTATCGACCGATGTTGACCATGATGTTTTATGGCAATCTGAGTCATTCATTGAGTCGAAAGAGAGAGAAAAAAACTCATTAAAGACGGCGAAAACGTTGTTAATTGGTTCAATTTAATGCTCCTCCAAAAAAGACGGGCAACGACCTGGTTTTCAACCCCCCCCCCCTCCCTCCCACAACCACCCTTTGCATTCCAGTTTAATTAAGCCTCGTTCAGTTCTATCTGTATTTAACAACTCATTTTGGTCTTTCTATGACCCGTCGCCTCCAATAGCAGATGAAGTTAAAAAAAAAATATTCTCTGAGGCCGGATTAAAAAAAAAAAAAAATTACCGACCCCCCCTTCCCAGCAACCACCTGCAACCCTAGCAACCACCTGTAAACAATGAATACCCAAATCTGAGTCATACAGTAAAAATAAAAATTTAAAAAAAAAAAATCCACCCATTTCCTTTGCAACTCTTTTAAAACTATAAACTCACGCAGACGTACATCATCACAATGGGAAGGGGGGGGGGGGGTGTGGGGGGGGGGGGGGGGTGGTGAGGGGGGATTGTTTGAATTTCGTGAGTGAGTGTGTGTGGTGAGTGTGGGTGTGTGTGTTCAGACCACCTTAGGCTGAGCGTCGCATCAGCAGAAAATATAAGGGTGAGGTCAAGCTCGGTGGAGGGTGGGGGATGGGTTGCCTAGGGGGGGGGTAGGGTTTGATTTAATGGCCTCCAGGAGCCGCGGGTAGAAAACGCGACCCTCTACCTGGGTCACGTGACAACGGTACCAGAGCCGTTGCTCCGCCTGGCGGGGGTGGGGGCGTCTTCATAGACACAGGTAGACTCGGGGGGGGGGGGGGGGAGGAAGGGGGGTGGACGTCTTCATAGACACACAGGTAGACTCGGGGGGGGGGGGGGGAGAATTCCAGTTGTGGGGGTAGGGGATTCCAGTTCAACTGGCTTGTGATGTAAAAAAAAAAAATGTCGTCTGAAATAAATTTTTAACGAGACCAGAGCGAGGTGCATATCGTCTAGCTCGACGCATGATGCTGCGTGTAGATCATTGAGATGACGACGGGCCGCTTAATTAGTCGGTTAATTATTTGAGCTCATACTTGCATACCGTTTCTTTTTAGGGTGGACTTTTTTTTAAGAAAAAAAATAATTAAATCTAGGTGTAAACATAAAACTAGTTTAAACATGTTAGTTTAGAAAAAAAAAAACATGTTTGTAGATTATTTTTTACATGAAAATTTACAAGAGAAAAAAAAACTCACACGAGGAGTGTAAAAGGGGTGATGTATCAGTTGAGGTGTGATGGAGAAGGGTAGGGGTGGCACAAGACAACAGAGACCTGGGAGGGGGGATGATGAACTGCAGACAGGTGTGAGCTCGTAGAATCGTGAGCACGGATCCTTGGAGAAGGGGGGGGGGTGAGTGGAGGGGGGGGGGTGCGGAAAGTGTGTGTGTGGGGGGGGGGGGGAGATGGATGACGGAGATGTTGCGTTCTTGGGGTCGCGGCTCAAGCCAAGGGAAGTTACCGTTGTTTGACGTGACGGTGGCCGTGAGATGGGCGATCTACGTCAGTGTTCGCCCAGTGGGTGTCCCGCGGGCCGTGTGCGGTCCGTTCAAGTTTTTTTTTTTTTTAAACGCCGTAGTTTTCATTTTTGTTTTGAAGTGAGGGTTCATTTATTTCGGTGCAGGTTTTTTTTAAAGTAAGCGTTCATTTACTTCTTTGAAGGTTTTTTAAGTTAGGGTTCATTTATTTCTTTAAAGGTAATGCACGCTCTATGGACTAAGACGTTTGAATTTTTCTTTTAAATAATGGGCAGTTAGTTTACCCTAATAGGGCAGACGGCGAGAATAGCAGGTGAAGTAGAGTTGATGCATTTATGCTACATCGCCATGTGAATGAAGTATGTGGTCAGCACTAGACCCGGGTGTATTTTACTTTTCAAGGCTAGAGTCGGGTACCCACCAGAGCTGGGTGGACTCAGTGAGGTCTTAGGGACTCGAGTCCGGGACTTAAAATTAGACTTTAAATATTTTGAAATTGTATTTTCTTATACAACGATTATACAATATTCTTTTTCGACAGAAATTTAATTCAAAATATCAGATATAAAGCTGTGAATTTAAATACGTTCTTTTTTATGTTTTTTTTTTTGTTTATCACAAAACTATTGTTAACACCTCATCTCGCAAGTTACTTATTTGCGGAAATCCCCAGGGTCTATAAATAGATTTCAAAATCTAAAATAAGACGTCGAACAAAAACTAATCTTGTTGGGGCTACAGTTCCGGAGTTTCCCGAAATACCAGGTGTAGTGTGAGCACCTCTCTCGTGAGACAATGCAGCAACCCCCAAAATGCCGAGACACGACCCGCAGACAGGGACTGTCTGAAGACACAACAAGCGCACACTTGCATGCGTCTTGCAGGTCCGCCGGTTTGGACGCCCCGTCCCACTCTCCCTCCCCAGACACAAGTGGGACAACAGCCCCACAGAGACAGAATGTCTTGTTTTGACGTCTGTCTGTTCAAGACACCCCGTGTGTACATTTAGATGTCTGGAACCTGACGGATATCTTGTATTTTATTTCGATGCTTTGGTCTGTTTGTTTAATCTCTCCCGGTATGAACCCTCCGGTTTGTTGATTCATCCGTTTTCAACAAAGAATTTGTTTAATTTTAACCGGTGATAAATGGATTTCATTTTTTATTAAATACGCCCGGGGTATTATTTTTAATTCGTTAAAATAACAGCTATGTCATGGCCATTCGACGTTGCATGGGGAGGATAACTGAGGGAGAAATAGAAGGTCTAATGCGCTACCTTTAGAGGAGTTTTAAGGAGAGCTGTTTAACAAGACGCTTCCGTACACGAGAAAGCTTTAGGGCAAGAGTGTGGGTCGATAATACAACATTAGATGCGATTGCGTTTACACTGATTAACTGTATAGGAAAAATAAAAATAAAATTTTTAAAATTTAAACACGAAAGCATAACAAATGTCGTCCATTATGAAGTAGATTTCATGTTTTTTTTTTTACTTCGGCATATGAAGGGGTACTGTGGTCAGCACTATGCCCAGCCACCTTTACTTTCTCTAACGTAAGTCAACTACCCATTAGAGCTGGGTGGACTGAGTGAGGTCCTACTATCACAAGTCCGAATCGAGATCCGAACTCGAGACCTTCGGGCTAGCAGCCAAACGCTCTAGCATTCGACCACACTGTCCCTTTATCTAGAGAGTTACTTTTTTTGGAATTCATTAACTTTAATTGATTTTGCACCACGCACATTTGCAGTTTAAAAAAAAAAATTAAACAATAAAGCTTAAATACACGGTAACCATGAGCCATGTCTAACTGGGTTTTGAACCTGGTTTCTTTCAAGTCTTGGGTAAGTTAGAGCAGACTCACCTTACACATACACCTGTTGCAGGTATCTTTCTTCCACGTCTCACCGTCCTGCCTCTGTGTGCCGTTGACGTGACAATATTTTAAACATTCGCACTGTTCCAGGCCAGACAACCGCTCTTCGGCTTTCATCAGCTGTGTAAGAGAGTCGGGGGTGTTATATGTGGGTGGTTGTGACATATATTATATGTGGGTGGTTGGGACATGTTATATGTGGGTGGTTGGGACATATATTATATGCGGGTAAGAGAGATCAGAAAATTAAGTTCTATTTCACACATGAATGAGTTCGATACAAACATTGAACTTGTAGTTAAGCATGAAAAATCAAGGTACTTAGTTTTATTAAAAAAAACATTTCAGTCTAGCTACTTAAGTGTATAAGGTCTTCAGCTTTTAACGATCTAGCTATAAATAGGAACGCAGTTTGTTTCTTCATAAAAAAAATCCAAGTTAAACACGATTTTAAAAATTGGGATTGACTGTTTTCGATACCACGAAACAATCTATGTAGTCACGATCTCGCTATAGATTTTCCTAGTGTTGATGATTTGCTCGGCGTAACCCAACCTCACAAACTAACAATTAGCATCACATTTTGCTCCGACATTAAAAACAACAAAACTCTACTAAGCCGAGGTACAGGCGCGATGCATCTAACTTATTATCGACAAATGACTTGCTTTCCTCATCTGGGCAGCCAGCCAAGCAGCTAATGCACCATCCCCATATCCCTTGCACAATGAGTTCAAAGACAAAGCCTCTCTAGGTGGTCGACTAATACTTAGCAGCGAACGTATCAAAAGAACGGAGTAAATTTCATTATATTCAGCGGGGTCAAGGAGAATAGAGGAAAAAAAAAATCTTCTTTCAGAACACTTATTGTAAATGGGATGAGTACAAGATTGTTTTCAATTTCTTAGTGTCGTTAAGTATAAAACAAAATGTCTTGATCGAGGCGGAGCGTTAGTTGTTTGTAGAAGTATTTAATAGCGTTACTTGCTGATGCTGAATTAGAGGAACGAAGGGTGGGTAATCTTAGAGGCTTGATGAATTTTACAGCGACAACACACACCGTTGGTTCATCACCTCCCACACTCCACACCTCTAGCTGGTGTGGGGAATACATGGGGGGGGGTGAAACTATATGGCTTGGATTCGAACTCTCTGCTTAATGAGATTCCCGGTTCGATCTACTAGTTCTAGGAGTATTTTTGGTTTCTGTCTATGCTAAACTTATTTTCACAAGGTTAAGTTAGCTGACTAGATTAAAGAACTGATAATTGCAAGGTAATAATTTGGACAATGCATAGACAAGATATAGTCTTTATCGACCTTGGGGGTAATGTATACAGTATGTAGTGTTTATAAAAACTGGGACAAAAGTTCAGGACAAAAGTTTGGTACAAAAGTTAGGGACAAAAGTTAGGGACAAAAGTTTGGGACAAAAGTTTGGGTTAAATGTTTGGTACAAAAGTTAGGGACAAAAGTTAAAGACAAAAGTTTGGCCCAAAAGTTTGCAACACAAGTTTGGGACAAAAGCTTGAGAAAAAACTTTGGGACAAAGTTTGCAACACAAGTTTGAAAAAAAAGTTTGTGATAACTCACCTTCTGCTTAAGCTCTGTGTACATCAGCGACATCTCCTTGACCCGTTGTTCCAGATCCTGGAACTTGCCACATGTCGCACACTCTGGAACAAGTAGCAACATTCAATTTAATCCAAACAGATATGATCAAGCTAATGGTACCTTTACCATTTTAGTAAACATCAGTGTGTAAACTACATTCAACATGGTCATTTATTGATTATTCTGGACATGAAAATATATACTTTCTTTAACAAAAGTAGTGTTCTATAGTGTATCAATTGGACCACAATTTTAGAACAAAAGTGCCAAGCAAAAGTGCCGAGAACTGACCTGTATCTTGTGGAGAACACTGCAACAAGTACCCGTGTGATTGTGTCACTATCTTCACATCTTGCAGCGCCCCCTGTCAATTTGAAAATGTACATTTTAAAATTTTTGCTTTAATACACTTTTTTTTCTGAAACTTTTTTTCAACGACTTCCAAACACGATAATTTATATTGATGACTTTTGTGACAAAGCCTGTTTATTGGTTATTGAAAATACACTCAGACACACACGCACAGACAAACACACCGACACTTACATACGCACATACACAACATAACAAAGCCACCTATTTGAAGTGAATCTCTCCCAGGATACCAACTTGTAGGAATGACTGCACATCCCAGTCAAAATATCAATACCCCCCCCCCCCCTGAAGAGTTGCGACATTCTGACCTCACTTGGAAGACGAGCACTCCACTGCGAGCTAACGTTTTAGCTCGGCGGTTGGCGTTTTTTCAGCCTTGTTGATTGATTACTTGCTGTGTAACAAGCTAGCCTCGACCTAGTAGCATGGTTTTAAGGTTTTTTAAAGGGGTTGACAGACTTGTTTTTAGGTTTGTTTTTAGGTTTGATTGCTGGGGTTGTTAACTGTTAGCCTCGACCCTAGGAGCATGGTTTTTAAAATTTATTCTTGTTTTTAGGTTTGTTTTTAGGTTTGATTGCTGGGGTCATTAAATGCTAGCCTCTACCTAGTAGCATGATTGTTAATAGACTTTTTTTTAAAAGTTTGATTGTTGGGGTCGTTAAATGCTAGCCGCAACATTAGAGCATGGTTTTCATTAGGTTTTTTGTTTTTTGCTTTGACGGAGAACCCTTTTTTAGGTTTAATACGGTACACGCCCCTAAACTTTTGTATGTATATGTTTATTATAGGCTATCCCGTTAAACGCTTACTTAATACACTGTATACGTATTCTTGTTTAGTTTTATTTAGATAAATAAACAGCAAAGCAAAATGTATTTATAGTACCTCGAATAATTCATATGCTATATTATTATATTATAAATTACGCCAGTGTTAACTTAATAGAGTTTTACAACAAAATGGAAACGTTATATTCTACTCTTGTCTTGAGAATTCAAAATTATGATTTCAGTTTATTTCTGGGGCTGGGCAATTCTGTGTTTTAGTAGTCCTCAAAATGCGCCTGTAATGTTTTACATTAGCCTGTTACAAATGGGATTTTCAGCTAAATTTGAATTTAAAAACATAAAATGTTGGAAGGCTAGATTCAACTGTACATGTTTTTCTAGATACTAGTTAGATATATCAACAATCATTAGCTACAATCATTACCATTTTCGTTGATATTTTAAAAAGTTAAAAAAGTATTTCACGTGTACTTTAAAGCTGAACCGAGTTAAAACAGCCGTCAATTATTTTACACTACAGGTAATTTTCGTCGTACACAGATAGTAGCATGACGATTTTAACACGATCCTTCCCCCATTATCACCTCGTAGCCTAGCAACGCCTCTATTCAGTGAGTGGCGTGGACCAATTCACGTGCAAATGATGGCTCATTGTTTTTTTTTTTAAACGTAGCAATTGTTTCATATTTGAACATGAACGTGAGCACGTCTAAAAATAAAAGATGAGGGATGACTCAAACATTGCCAAATTGTTTTGGCACGTGTGTAGGTAGGTAGGGGGGGGTAAGATGTGTGGGGTGGGGATTTGGGGGGGGGGGGTGGGGTGGTACAAGACGGTACTTGACAGTACTACTGTAAGGTACATTGGTGTATAGGTAGGGGGGTAAAGATGTGGGGGTGGGGATGTGGGGGTGGGGTGGTACAAGATGATACATCACGATATATTACGATATTATAAGTAAAATAGTGTGTAAGGGAGGGGGTAAGGGCTAAATTGTGTGGGGTGGGGGTGGGCTGAGTGGGGTGGTGCAAGACGGTACAACACAGTACTGTTTAGTACAGTAGTGTGTAGGTGGGGGGCAAAGTTGTAGGGGGTGGTGACATAGGGTGGTACAGCGATACAAGACTACTATATTGTACAGTAGGGTGTAGTTAGTTGCTAAAACAGGAGCTAATGTAACGATTGGGGTGGGACGATCCAACACGGTCCAACGCGGTACAGTAGGGTACAGTCGTGTTTGGGAAGGGGCTAAAATGGTATGGGTCCCTGTGGGTGGTGCAGCTGAACACGGTACAGCAGGGTACAGCACGGTACAGTTATAATTTGCACGTGACTAAAAAGGTAGGTACGCTACATGTCCGGTACAAACGGAGCACGCACATCTCGATGATATCCTACTTAGCGATTTGTTGTTTCGTAAACTGTACTCGTTCGTCCAATAAAACATCTTCTACCACGAGGTGTTTTTAGAAGTAGCTTTAGAACTAAAGTAATCTTAATGTTTTAAATATATTATACTAATACAATATTATCCTAGATAAATAGGATTAGATGAATATTAAATACTTTAAATAATTCTATTTTCTACGATCGTTTTTCATCAAAGTATTCTCAAACTGTTAATAACAGTCTATTCTATACTAATGTAAATATTTGAAGAAGCCAAAGAATACAACTGTCACAAAGCACGTTTTCACACAGCACGCCAAGACTATCTTGATATCGACCTTAATAATCCCTGCCTGACCTTAACCTTAACTTCCTACGATTCTTAACTCTATAGACACGAGAGCCGCATCGAGTAGACGGAGCGTAATATCCCTCGTATTTTCTCCAGTTGATCGACTTCATACATTTGCCGGGATGTCTAACTCTTGAGGGAGATATAAAGACATCCGCTTGACGTACAGTAGGAAAATGTCGTCTCGCTTCGTTCCCCACGGGCCGAGGCGATATATGAGGTTTTTTTTTTTTTTTTAAATGTGTTGAGAAGAAACAGCCTAGAACTCTCAATGAAGTGTGGGAATTTATTCTTCATGTTCGTAAACTAGCTTTAAATGTTGTAATTTTTTGTGGTTGATAGGGTTCAAGATTTGCTTGCATACACCACGGGGTCTTTACTTGGCATAGGATTTGTAGTTCCATTGTGTGTGTGTGTGTGTGGGAGGGGGGTAAGATGGTGGGGAGGGGGGGTCAGTTAGTTTATTCTAAGCTTTGTATCCGTCGTAGCGTGAGGTACGGGTGTTTTCTTTTTGTTTTTTTTTTCTTTTGGAAGCCCTATGCAGCATAACCGGTTTCTAAAAAAACTAAGGCACGGGTTATTTGGGTAGTTTTAACTGTAGATACTAGTCAGGTATATCAACAATCATTAGTTAAAATCATGACCGTTTTCGTTGATGTTTTAAACAATCCAAAAATATTTATCGTGTACTTTAAAGCTGAACAAAGTTAAAACATCTCGTTTTAGTGTAGACAAATATCGCATATCCATAAAAAAAAACAACGGATCCAACCTACTCACCCTGAATAAAGCCAGTTGACCGTTACGCTGACCAATATACAAGGTCAAGGGCCCACTCGCCGTGCGGTCAGAGGTAGGAATCACACGCTGGTATATCCTGTTGCAGTCGACGAAGACCGAGATTTGATCTCCGGCCAGCGAGACGGCCAGCTTGTGCCACTTGCCGTCGGCCAGTCTGTAGGGGAATGTTTCCAGTTGAACCTGGGAGTTGTGTGTGTAGTGGAATCGGAGCTCGTTCCGGTGGCCATTGCTCTCTATCTCCAGGAACCTGCGACAGGAGGTCAAAACATGGAGTGAGTAGAGAACGTGCAAATATGGCGGGTACAAATCAGAGGCGTAGCGAAGGGGGTGGGGGGTGGGAGGGGCGTACATATGTCCCCAGGCGCCGACCATAGGGGTGCCAAAATAAGCTCATTTTAGCTGCTATTTTGAATTATAAATATAAAAAAAATATATGGGGGGGGGGGGGGCGCCAAATTGAAAGTTTGTCCCCTGGCGCCGGGAGGGGTCGCTACGCCTCTGGTACAAATATGGTAGGAGGTAGTTGTAAGGGGAAGTCGTAGAATTCTATAGGGGACAAGAATGGCAGGAGGGAGTAGAGTTGTAAGGGGTAGACGTGGAAATATATAGGGCACAAGTATGACAGAAAAGAATAGAGTTATAACATGAAAACTTGCAAGCAGGAAGAGTGCCCGTATGACAGGAGTGAGTAGTCATAAGGGGAAAACAAGCACGGGTCCCATGTGATAGAAATACAGAGTTCGTGAGGGGAATTCTGAATTAGGTCATTATAGGAAACATAGAGATTAAAAAGAAAACAATGGCAGAAACAAAGCGTCTACTTAAAGAGGAATAAATAGCTTATGATTTATTTTGAAAACGTCATCGAGAATGTTTAGATTGTTAAGGAAAAAAGTAATTTAACAAAGGAATATTTAACAGTTATTAATTTAATTGGTATAAAACTGTTACTCATTTAAAAAAGGCAAACTGACTCTTTTAAGAATGGTATATACGGCAACTCACTAATAAAAAAAAAAAGAATTTGTTGTTTAATTAACTTCAATCAAATTATTTTTCAAGCTAAATGTATGATGCTGTTCTAATCAGTTCATTAACATAGTTTGAATTGTCAGACAGTTCTTGGCATCACAATTCTTCATCGTAATTTTCTCATTCTTTCCACAACTTGAAAGAAAATTAACTGGAATATTATATTTCTCTTTGACAAGTGTAAGGCCATCTTCGCTCAGAAAATTGTAATTTGACTTTAAAAATAGCTGGGAACAAATCGACCGAGTAGCTAGGTGGTATGACAGTAAAGTTTAAACAACTTACATGCAGTTGGTAAGGGAAACAAGTGTTAGAGGTGGTTTTGTTAGAAGTTGGAGGTAAGGTAAACAACTGTCAGAGGTGGTTTTGTTAGAAGTTGGAGGTAAGGTAAACAACTGTCAGAGGTGGTTTTGTTAGAAGTTGGATGTAAGAGAAACAACTCTTAGAGGTGGTTTTGTTAGAAGTTGAAGGTAATGGAAACAACTGTTAGAGGTGGTTTTGTTAGAAGTTGGAGGTAAGGTAAACAACTGTTAGAGGTGGTTTTGTTAGAAGTTGGAGGTAAGGTAAACAACTGTTAGAGGTGGTTTTGTTAGAAGTTGGAGGTAAGGGAAACAATTTAAAAAATTTACTTTTTTACAAACGGTAAAGAACCGATTTGAAACGAAAAACTAGCAAGCAAGCAGTTTACCAGTCTTGTAAGAAGCGTTTGCAGTTTACCAATGGTAAATTACATACCATGTAAGAAATGTAATCAGCTTACCTGTTGGTGTCTGAAGCGAAAGCCAAGAGGGTGCCTGTGTTGCCCACTTCCTGCCGGACCGAGCTCAGGAACGTCACCTCGGTGGGGTCCTGGAGGAGGCGGAGAGCCCGCTGGGTTAACGCCCTTGACAGAGCTATGCGCCGATCTGAATCTGTGGGATAAAAAGTGGGGCAGCCTTAAAATAACTGGGTTTGTTGATGTCAAAAACTATTTCACAATACATTTTATACATGTTGTTTAGTATATATATATATATATATATATATATATATATATATATATATATATATATATATATATATATATATATATATTTCCGTTTCAGTTGATCCTTTATTTATGAATCATTTGTTCAAGTTATTTATTTTTAACTATTTGTATTTGAAGTATTTTCATCAGATCCTCCACGATAGAAAAAAGAACGACCACCCATTCTAAAAGGGAGATTATCTCAACCAGGTAGGTGTTCCAATCATAAGAGGGGTGTATCCGGGGAGTTGTAACTTGGGTCTGGCTATGCTAAGCATGTCGTTATGACTACATCACCCTCCCACCCCACCTCCAGTTTTTGACAGCTCGAGTACATGTGTCCACCCCAATTAACGGGCTGTGTTTTAAGTGGAGGTGAGTTAGGCTAGGGGTGGGGGTGGAGGTGAGTTAGACTAGGGGTGGGGGTGGGGTTAAGTTGTGAGGGGAAGGGTCTATCGGGTCCTGATTGACGCGTCCCAGGCGATATCTTCACTCTAAAGTCTTCTCAAGGTTCAGGTTTTATTTCTTGTCTGTGTGGGGAGTGGAAGACGGGGTGGGGAGTGGAAGACGGGGTGGGGGTTTTAGGGGGTCGGGGTTAAAGTTGAGATGGTGGGGGTAAGAGGGTAGGTCCGTAAGAGAATGTAATAGATCTGGGCCGCGGCGCCGAAATGTTTTGGAGCCGGAGTCTTAGAGCTGGAATTTTGGAGCTGTAATCGTGAAGCCGATATATTGTAGCTGTAGAATTTCGGAGCTGTAATCGTGAAGCCGATATATTGTAGCTGTAGAATTTCGGAGCTGTAATCGTGAAGCCGATATATTGTAGCTGTAGAATTTCGGAGCTGTAATCGTGAAGCCGATATATTGTAGCTGTAGAATTTCGGAGCTGTAATCGTGAAGCCGATATATTGTAGCTGTAGAATTTCGGAGCTGTAATCGTGAAGCCGATATATTGTAGCTGTAGAATTTCGGAGCTGTAATCGTGAAGCCGATATATTGTAGCTGTAGAATTTCGGAGCTGTAATCGTGAAGCCGATATATTGTAGCTGTAGAATTTCGGAGCTGTAATCGCGAAGCCGATATATTGTAGTTATAAACCGGCTAATTTTTCCAGTCGGAAATACTTTTTGGTCTTTGAAAAAGCCACGGTTGTATCTCCAGGAATTGAAGGCGAAGGTGTTGAGAAATCCAAGGCAATTCAATTGGTTCAAAAAAGTTTTTGACCAAAAGTTTAAGAAGTTCCAAGCTTAAGAACTCTGTATTCTTGGTAGAGATACGAAAAACGTATATCGAAATGAAGTTAAAAAATAATCTAGCTTTAAAATAAAACGATAGTAACTGTTGTTTTTTTCTGGTCTTTCCTTGTAGGAAACGTTTGCAGATGCTGTTACACCACAAGTTCTCCCTGACTAGTTATAGTGAGACATCAGGCCATCATCACTGATAACAGGAGTTATGCCCCTTTGGTAATGAAGATAAGCTATACATTGGTTTAGCGTTTCTTATTTCATCCCCTCCACCCCCCTCCCCTCCCCCCCTTTTTTTTATATATCGGTCACCCGGAAGAAAACATTTTAAAATGAAAATGTTTCCGCACATAGGGCCAGAGGAACAAAATATTTCTTGCTATTATGGTACCAACTAAAAGAAAAAGTCTAAGGCTAGAGAGAGATGGCTTAGGGCGTCAAGCGATAGCGAGCTAGATTTGATCCCAGATATATTGTACATTCCTCTCTCGCGCTACCCACCTCGACCATCCTCGTTTTTATTTTATTTTTATTTTTTTGGGGGGAAATCATTTTTTTTTTATCTTAATTAAATTCAGATTTATAAAATCGTTGACCGGAAGAGTCCCCATTCAGATCGGAATAATTTCCGACGAAGAAATAATGGCGTATAACGATTATCGTTTGACATTTTCTTCAAAATGTAAATGGTCTAAAGAATCATAACATAACAATATGTAAATCTCAATATAAAAAAAGTTTTCTTTTCTTTTGAACGCACACGATGAAAAATATCCATAAACAAAAAAAGTTTTTCGCAATACACGCTACTCTCGACACAAATTATTCCGTCGTTGAAGATGGTATCGCCGGCCGGGATTAACCACTTCAACACAACAGGGGGTTGCAAGTTCATAGACTCGTCGCATCAGTGCTTTGCAATCATGGGAATATTTTTCCTCAATAGAGTGAAAAACAAAATCCGATGAAAAGTTGATAAGAGTAAAAGTATGGTTTAATGCTCTTATCAGATAAAGATGCTAGAAAATTAGTTTAGATCTATCGGAAGTTATTTAAGTAACTGAAGTTGTGGGTTTTTTAAAAATGAATTTAGACGAAAAAATAAACAAATCTCCGTATGTGCTATTGTTATTTTAATTTTGTATTTGAATGCGTTTTTATCTTCACGATCAAAACCTTTTGTCGAATGAGTCAAATGTTAAAGTTTATATTTCTGTAACTTAGCTTGTATAGTTAAGGCTACTACTTTATTAATTTCAGCTAAAGATAGAGTTATTCAAATGTGTTTTGTATGTGGTACTACAAATTAAAAAAAAAATAACACCCATAAATTCATATATTAAAAAAAAAAGAAAAATATATTTTCTTAGACTTACGACGAAATCTTTGCAAGACGCGCCCACGAAAAGTATGAATCATTTATAGACATGAGTTTATCGTGTTATTATTTTTTTTTCCCCTGTCGTAACTGCGTTACGCCTAGCTTCATTTTTAAGCCACGGAGAAGTCAAAAAGGGGAGAGAACTGTACTTTCATGGGAGATAACCTTCAGATATTTTTTTTCTTTCATGCTGTGGGCGGAGATAAGGGGGAGGTAAATGGAGACTCCCTGTGATAGACGCCACTGGGCCAATGCGTGTGTTCCCCATAGTGGAGCCGACTATTATGTTTTATGGACACACCATTAGCCATAGCACCCCCCCCCTCCCCCCTACATCCCCACCGTCTACACCTGGCTTGATAAGGTGTACAGAATCACCTGGGTACTCTCCCCCTTGCTATTTCTGGTTCCAGGGTTTTGTTCCTCTTCATTGATTGAGGGTCTGGGAGGTGGTTTTACTGGAGGGAGGAGGGGAGGTGGTTTTACTGGAGGGAGGAGGGGAGGTGGTTTTACTCGAGGGAGGAGGGGAGGTGGTTTTACTGGAGGGGAGGAGGGGAGGTGGTTTTACTCGAGGGAGGAGGGGAGGTGGTTTTACTGAAGTGAGGTAGGGGGTTGGTTTTACTGGAGGGAGGTAGGGGAGGTAGTTTTACTAAATCGACGCTCTAGAAATCATCGACAAAACAACATTCGCCTTACATGTTCCTCCATTTAACTTAAATAGATGCACTATAATTTTTTTAAAGATACTGCAAGGTCATTTCAAATCTTGAAAACTTAAAAAGAAAATATCTCAAGATTGGTATCAAGAGGACTGTTGAAATCCCATTCAATAATATGTCGCTGGAGAAATGCCGTGAATTATTTCCCTTTAATCTGGCGTAGCGTCTATTTGTACGGCTGAGCAATCAGATTGAAGCTCCAAAGGAATTAAAGTACATCATTTGCATAGATTTAATTATGTTTTGCCAATAACTTAACACGATCCACTGCAGCCAGGGAACGTGTATGTGTGTGTGTGTGTGTGGTGTGTGTGTGTGTGTGTGCGTGTGTGTGTGAGTGTTGGTTTTATCGACAGGAACCAAGTCGAATACTAATGTGTAGTTTGGAGGGGTATATGCTAATGTGTATTGTAGGGGTACCAGACTAAGGCTAAGTAAACTATCGTGTGTATACTAGTAGTGTGTATATTGTAAGGATTGTGCTTTATGTATTGAATGGGACTAGACTAAGTATCGTTTCATTCCTAGAGAAACAGTGTGTATAATATAAAGGCTGTATTGATGGGAGGGGGGGGGGGGTAGACTAATGTCATGTAGCCAGGCTCGGCTAAGGTTTTGCACATTGTAATAGCACCAAAGTTGATTTGTATTACAACAGAACTAGGCCAAGGTTACGTTCAGAGACGGTCTAAGACCTTGATGTACAATTTAGACAACCTAGGCTAATATTTATTGGGGGCGGGCTAGCCTAATGTCTATTGGGGGCGGGTTAGCCTAAAGTCTAGTGGGGGCGGGCTAGCCTAATGACCGCGCATTGTTGTGAGCCTAGCAGCCTGCAAGAATGTCTTCCACAGGTGATGACGCGTCGCTTCTCAGGCGTGTGTGCACGGAGAAGAAACAGCAAGTGATCTACACAACTGATGATAAGTAAAACTTTTAGATTAGTTGAGATCTTACAACGTGGACATGCGGCGGAAGGAAGGGGGGGGGGGGGGGTATTTCAGGTATTTCAGCCAATCGAATAATACGTAGACTATTGATATGTGTTATGTTTTGTTTTCAATAAAATAGAAATATCCTTGCCATTCATACACCCCCCCATCCCCCACTTCAAAAATAAAAAAAACGAAACCATCAAACTGATTACTCACACGCATTATTTAACAGGTCAGTACTCATCCACAAAAATAGGTCTTCGTTAGAGTAGCTATTTTTTCATCACAGTAGATACTCAAAACCATTTTATGTACTGACGTGGACTGGGTACAATATCTACTGTATCAGCAATCTCGTTTTATGTACTGACGTGTACGAGGTACAATTTTTGGTCTACCAGTAATCACGCTACTAAATAGTCCGGCCCGGGGCATTAACAAACGCTTCGGATAAAAATAATTAGGAAACTAATTACCATGGACGTCGGGGGCATGTGTGCTGGGGGAGGTACTACGCCAAGTTCAAGGACGCCTTGCTGTGAGAGACTAAGTGTGTGGGGTGTGGGGGTGGTAGTGGGAGGAGGGGGCGTCTTTCAGGAATCAAGATTTTTTATTTTTTTTTA